GGGCGCTAATTCAATTGGATATCCATATGGGGAAACATGACCCCTACCACACACCACTCACAAACATCAGTTTCAGATGAACAGTTGGCCTAAATGCTGAAGGGAAAAACGTAAAATTTTTATAAGAAAACACAGAGAATATTTTTATTACATTAGACCAGACAAAGATGTCTTAACCAGTATCACATAAAGCACTAGCCAGGGGACTTCCTGGTGGTCCAGTGGTTTAAGAATCTGTCTTGCAATGCAGGGGACGTTGGTTTGATCCCTGTTCAGGGAACTAAGATCCCACATGCTGTGTGGCAACTAGGCCCACGTGCCACAACTAATGAGCCTGCAAGCCACAACTAGACAGAAGCCTGTGCACTGCAATGAAGAGCCCACATGCCACAACGAAAGATCCCGTGTGCCACAACTAAGCCCAGATGCAGCCAAAAAAAAAATAAATATTTTAAAATATTTTTTTAAAAAAGGCACTAGCCATAAAGGAAAAGATTGATAAATCACGCTATATTGCAACTGAGAACTTTTCATCAAAAGACATCGTTAAGAGATTTTTTTTTAAAGCCACAGATATATGTATTTGCAATACACTTATCTAACAAAAGACTCATCCAAAATATATAAAGAAATCCTGTAATCATTAAGTAAAAGACAGCCCAATAAAATAGGCCAAAGACTTGAACAGGTGCTTCACAAAAGAGACTATCTAAATTAGCTAACGTAGATGAAAAGGTGATTGGTTTCAGTTAGTCAACAGGGAAAAGCAAGATTAAAAAGCTACAGATACCGCCATGCCCCCACCAGAATGGTTACAATGAAAAAGGCAAACCATGCCAAGTGTGGGAAAGGATGTAAATCAACTGAGACTCTTACACACTGCTGCTGGTAAAAGTACAAATTAGTACAACTATGTTGAACAACCATTTAGCAGTAGCTGCTAAAATTGAACATATGCATTCCTACAACCCAGCAACTTTACTCCCAAGAACATACCCAGCAGATATGGGTACATATGTTCACCTAAACACATGTACAAGAATGTTCATCGTACCATAATAATACCCGAAAATTCAAATAACCAGGATGTCCATCAAGAGTAAGGTGAGTATTCACAAAAATACAATTGCATGATGTTGAACCAAATAAATCAGAAACACACAAAAGTATAATTTGAAGTTCAAACACAGGTAGTTCAAACACAGGTAAAACTGATCTAAGGCATTATAAGGCAGGGTTGTGGGTAATCGGTGTCAGGCGGCCAGGTGGCATCCAAGGTGCTGATAATATTCTGTGTTTTGATCTGGAGCTGATTCGACAGGTACGTTCAGTTTGTGAATATTCATCACGTGATACATTTATGATTTGTGTACCTTTCTAAATGTACGTTATACGCATTAATAAGTTTACTGGGGGACAAAAAGTTATATACATGCCTCTAAAAGGCATGTATATAGGTTACCAAGAGAGATATGAGCACCGTCAAACACACACTTTACTGATCAAATGGCGTCCAAGAGCCTGTGTATGGGGTCAGCCAGTGGAAACAGAACTGGGAGGAAATAAAGATCCCCAATCAGCCGGGATGTAAGGCTCTGGTTAAAACAGCTCCTTTTGGCGAGCAGTCCTTGACTCAGTCGTCCCCCCTTTCCCATTTCTCTCTCCCCTTTTCCATCTCTAGTTCTTCTGCACGAGAATAGGGTTGGAGAGAGACAGCTCACATTGGACTCACTCCATCCCGAACGGTGTTTCCTAACCACCTCCCAAGTCAGGATGCCAAAGTCTAACAAGCAGCTTTCTGGGGGGAATGCAGTGCCAGGAAGACCAACTCTAAAGACCAGAGAAAACAGAGGCAGGTCACCAGTGTGTCCGCCAAAGCTCTTCATGGGATAAACAAATGTGAAGACATTGGGAAAACATGTTCTTTCTGTCCGTAAGAAACTTGAGGCCCTGTCCTTCACCCCGCTATCAATCAAAGTATCTTGGTGATCTCATCTAAGAATAAATGTACGCTCTGATGACACTTGGGTCTTACCTGTGGACTATAAAGTCAAGATTGAAGAACAACGTAATGCAGGAAGCTTAGGGATTAATTAGGATTATCGAAATTCATCCTTAGATCACCAACTAAGCTCTGATTTAATGCCAAGTTCTTTCAAATGGGGGAATGCGCAGAACCATGTGACTGACCTGTAGAAAACGGGAGTTGACCCTCTGTGACTCCCTTAGAACGTGTGTCTTTAAAGTGTCCCCTCCATTGTCTGGCCTCCTGTGGCATTTCATGAGTCAGAATGTCCCAGGGACGGAGATACTTCCTGAGCTACCAACATGCTGGTGACCATTTTGAATCCTCACTGGGCACTTGTTGAGGTAGCTTCCTGGTCATGGTCACTCTGGGTGTTTTTCCAGACCATGCTCAGGATCAAGTTCCCTGCAATGCCCTTCCAATCACCCTTTCCCCCACCCTGCCCCTCCCCATGGCACCTGTGCCCCCTAGACACAGTTCTATCACTGCAGGGCTCACATGATGGCCTAATTCCTTCAGTGGCTTTCTCCCCTACTGGACTTTGACCTTTACAAGGGTGGGGACAGTAGCTTATACATGTTATCCACAGCTCCCTGCACAGTACTTCGTATCTTTATTGCTCCTTCTGATAACACATGTAATACAAGGCAATATAAAATTCACATCTCAGAGAGATACAGAGTGTAGGCAACGAAACTTCCCCCAGAATCTTTCTGTCACAAGATAACCACTGCCAGTTTGGTGCGTATTTTGTCAACAATTTGTGTATCAAACAATATAAATTATTAATAATTATAGTTTTTCCTGAAGATGAAACCATTGCCTACATGCCATTTTGCAAACTGCTTTTACCACTAAGTAGCATAAGACAGGAGCACACTTCCCTCATGAAGTACATGGCTCTGCCTTATTCATTTTAACAGTTGCACAGTACTCCGTCTTTGGGAGGTCCTATACTTTACTTACCTGCTCCTCTACGGAAGGACTTCCGCATTATATCCATTTTCCGTGTTATACAAACAATACCACTGTAAACGTTTTTGTGCGTATCTTTTTGTGCCCATAGGGAGTATTCTTCTGGGTTACATTCTAGAAGTTGAAAGGCTGGGTCCCTACAGCTCTCCTTCCCCTCTGCAGAGAACTGGGGCAGTGTCCGTAGCAAACAGTGCCCCGGAAATGATTAACTGACCGAACAATGGGAGTCAATAAAAGAAATGGTCCTAAGAATACAATTTCTGTACCACCGCTAAAGCAGCTTTTGGAAACTGGCCCCTTGTGTTGTATGTGGTCCCTTAATATACAAGGATACACATGACAAACTCCTTCCCGCTAGGCTAAAGGCAAGGTCTTATTTGAATTTGTTCAATTCAGCAAATATTTTGAGCCTACCCTAAGCTAGAAGCAGGGCATACAATTACCAGCTGTAATTTCTGGTAAAAATTTAACGACTCCTGCTGAAATACTAAGCATCGTTACTAGCTTATTTCCCTTTATGCCTCGTTTGCTAGGAAGTTCAACACTCAGCGCTGATAAGAACTCTCTTTGGCCTCAGATTTCTGCTATATGCAGTTGCCCTCCTTAGTGTTCATTGCATTGCTTTCTTACGTTTTTTTAACCCATATTTCTATAGTTCTATTGTATATGCAACTGAATTCAAATTCATGTCAAGGGGAATAACAATAACTAATTACTTTATAAAGAATTTACATGTGTCATTTCATTTAATCCTCAATTTTTAAAAGTTGTCATGAAGGTAGGACAGGGATTACCACTGTCATCTCAGATTTTCAGTAAACCGAGAATCAGGAAGATTCAGTGACTCACCCAAGACAACATGGCCAGGAAAACACAGCTTTGAGAATCTAACCGGGGTCTCATAATTTTGTAACTGAAAAAAAAAAAGAAAAATGAATTTATGCACCAAGTCAATATGAACACGCTTTACAGTGAAGTACACTCACCTTCTCTCACCCAGGCACCCACCTTCTCTAAATAAACAAATAAGAAGTTCTTGGGGGAGAGGCAGGGGAAGCAGAAGCCTGCCTCAGTATGTACCGAGACTAATAGTGCCCTCCACCATCACACACGTCGCGGTCTTTAACCGTGATTTCTCACTTTGCACCACAACACAGCTATTTCTCTGTCTCTTATGACTCCACCTAATTATTCCAGAATCTCCCAGAAATGTTAACTCACATGGCAGAAGGAGTGAAGAGGGAGGTTGGGGGAGGGGGTTATGTAGGGAGAAGGATTGGGGGTGGGGAGGGGAGAGAGAGAGTAAAAGGATAGAGTCAGCCAGTGAAAGATCCTTTCCAACGTCCAAACAAAACCCTTCCTTTTCTCCTTTGCTTTGCTATTTTGATGGCTGGGAGGAGTATGCTTTTTACACTGTGGCAATACAAATAGAACTAGGAGCTACATTTCACAATTTATGTAGCAGTTTCAGATCATTTTGAAAATCTATTAGAGTTGCAACAGTTAAAATTTTTTCCTCCCGGGAGAGTTTTTAGGAGGCATGGACCTGCTACCCTCCCAGCATCATGTATTTATGACCCGTATCCTGGGCATTTCACAGGCTGGTTTCTATTAATTTGCCCTACCAGCCTCTCTGAATACTTGACTCAGGGCTTTTCCCTGCTCATCTCTGGTATCATTCTTCTCTTTCCTTGGAGCTTGCTTACCTGACTCTCCATTGACTTTTGAAACCTGTGGATCACTCTCTAGATGAGACTTCAGATAGGCTGTCTTCATCCGCTCCCTAGCTGATGACAAGCCCTGGTACCACGGTGCCTCGTGACCACTGTCTGCTGCCCCAGCTCTGTAGACTCTAGTATCCGATGGTGATGGTTAATTGTATGTGTCAGGGTCTCTCTCTCTCTCTCTCTCTCTCTCTCTCTCGTCCACTTTGAAGGGGTTTCAGACACCTGTTATTCAAAGTCCAAGCTGGTGGAACAAGTGTTTGGCACTTTTGTGAATCCTGCATTGCAGCTGAAGTGGTAATGTTCTTTAGGTAAGGGACATTCAGAGTCAAGAAAAACTTGTTCTAGCAAATGCTGAAATTTCCAAAATGTATCTTTCTGGGACAGATCTGTGTTCCAAGCACAGTCTCGCACATCACCTGCCTTCTCAACAGCTCCACCGGGGTGACAAAGCAGCTTCAGCTCCACAAGTGCAGAACCAAACTGGCCTTCTTCCCCACCTCCAACCGTCTCCAGGTTCCCCATCATAGAAAACGGCATTTCTGTATGTTCAAAGAAGAAATGCTGGAGTCATTCTGACACCTCCTTCTCCCTCAATCATGAATTTTACCTGCTGGATATTTCTCCAATATATTCTTTACTCTCCCACCTCACTACCCTTTCAAACCACCATGATTTCATGACTCAGCTATAATGGCTCCAGGCCAGTCTTCCCACTCCTCACTCTTGACTCTCTTCAATTAGCTTCAACATTAGAACGCGCTTTTAAAAACACAAACCATTGCATAAACATTCCCATGGCTTCCTACTGCTTTTAGAATTAAGTACACAGATTTGGCTTTGGCTTACAAAGGCCTGCATAGGTCTGACCCCTGCAAATCTCTCATAACATATTGGCCTTCTTTTGTTTGCTCAAATGCACTGTGTTTCCTGCCCCAGAGCCTTTGCACATGCTGCTTGTTGATATCTGCATGGAATGCTGGGCCCCTATTCAAGGTCACTCAGCCAACCCCTCATCATCCCTCAGGTCTCAGCTTAAATGGCACCTTCTCAAGGAAGCTTTCCTGACCCTCTGTAAAGAGCTCTCACAGCACCTTGTGTTTTTTCCTAGTATTTATGAAAACATAATCATTTCTTAAATAATTTATTAAATGCCTATCTCCCCCTCCCTAACCCCAATTCCCAAACTGTAGGCTCAGTGAGGGCAGAGGCTATACCAGATGATATCCTACTTTCTATGTATGCAACTGTGAACAAGATAGACGCAAAGAAAAACACTCAGTAAAGGTCCTTGGGAGGACAGATGGGAAATAAAGAGGAGAATCAGTGAGAAGGACAGTTGGTTCTTTTTTGAACAAATTTCTCCTTTATGTTTGGAATACAGGAAAAATAGTTTCCTAGATGACTTGAAGGAAAGTTGTTTTTGAAGAAGTATGTGCATTTGTGTATGTATAAATATCAATATATTTTCTTTCTTCCTCATTACTTTAATAAGGAAATCCAAAAAAGCCAAGCTTAGGCTTACACATAAAACTTGACAAAAATGGAACCATTTGAAGGAAAGGCATCAATTAAAAATCAAAACCATGTTCAGAAAACTCAACTCACTATGGCAAACCACCATCTTCCTGGATTCCAAATAACAGGAATAAACAAAGAACTGAAGAAATCCCTGGTGTCTACTGCACTTTTTGTGTGATAATCTTCTTTTAATAACCTTTTTTCCCCCCTCTTCCAAAAACTGCACAGGTCCTTTGGGGACACTAAAAATTTTCCAAATCTTTGGTGGCATCAGTGTAGTTCTAGAATTCATTGCTGTGGGACAGCATCGAATCTGTCAACTGAAAATGAGAAATGTCCAAACAGCTGCCAGATTGGAAAGTCTGTGCAGCAGGGTTCACACCAGTCCAATGTTACCCGGGCTCAGGGCTGCTGAAGGTAATGAGACCATGTGACAAACATCCAAACACATCCATTCCACAACCAGCAACCCCGCCACAGCTGTCACCCTGAGAGATCAAACACTCCTAATATACAGCTGCTATCCAAACTACCTTTGCAACTATCTTTACGTACATAACCTAAAAGTAGTACATGGCTACTTTTACCTGTTGAGGTTCAAAGAATGAGGCCTTGGGGAAGTATCTAAAAAACATTTGGGGTCAAGCCTGGTGCCTAAATGGAAGGTCAAGCAGAGTAACATAATGTTTTGGTTTTCATAATACCTCCTACATATTATCAAGGACATAGAAAGTCTCTTATCTCACTTGGCTTTTCTACAGGCACTGCCCAAAGAGGACTCCTTTTCTGCTTGCATTTCTCAAAAAATTGTCTTGAGCTGTAGCAGCATGTAAGAAAACTGCCCTTACGTTTTCCATGGAAGTAATGGACCACCTGCATTAGAATCATGGGGTCGAGGGAGCTTGTCAAAATGCAGATTTCACAGCCCCATTCTGAACCTGAGGAAATTAAAATGAATCCACTGATGGAGAATAACAAGGGAGCCCAAGGAGGCTTCTGACAGGACCTAAAGAATAAGAGGCACTGACCTGGGAGAAGGAGGATGCAGAGTGCTTGAGGCAGGGGAAACCAACGCAGGAAGACTACATGGGGGCATGCTTCAGAGAGTGGAAGGGGGGTGTAATGGGAGGTGGGTGAGAAGGAAACCAGATAGGATGGGGCAGAAGGGGCGGGCTGGGAATGGCGAGTCCTTGCAGAATCTTAAGCAGTCAAGTACGGTGGGTGGTTTGTGTTTTGTAAAGACTGCTCTGATGCTGAGTGGAGAAGACATCTGGAGGGGCAAGAGACAAACTCAGAAGACCATGCAGATCTGGATGAGGCTAGTAAAAGTGGAAACAGAGAAATGTACAAGTCCCAGGGATGAGGCGGAATTGACACACACTCACAGATTGAAGGTCAGGGTAAGGGGGAGGAAATTTGGGACAACAGCCAATTTTGCAGCTTCTACAAGGGGAGAGCAGTGCCTTTTGCTCAGATGGGCAAGGCTGGGCATCAAGACGTCCCCTTGGACCTGTTCAATGTGTTGGGTCTTACCTGTAAGGTGGAGATAATTCCACCAGCCTGAATAGCTTTTGTAATGATTGGAGATAATACATGCAAAGTTCTTTAAGAAACAGTAGGAGCTCAATTAATAAAAAATATTTTATTTTTTAAAATTAAGCATCAGAATATTTTTTGGTACACTGGACACGTTTAGGCTATATTTCTTCCTTTTTCTTCCTAAAAACACCATTGTCTTGAAGCTAAACTGAATAACGCCTGCCACACGAATCCAACCTCAGAGATCTCGCACAGATTTTCTCTGCCTTCACCTAACTCCAATGTCCAATACCTGACACCACACACTTGATTCACTTTGTCCTACTTTGTTGTCAGGAAACATCAGAACCATAAGAATTATGTTCCCAAGGACATGTGTGTGGACGCAGCTCATCAACTGTCAATCTCACATGCCAATGGCTTCTCCCCCTCTTTGGTCTCACCTCTATACTTCAAGCCCACGAATCTTCTCAAGGTTTCCCAGTACAGAGCCAACCATCACAATTTCACCACCCCTGAGACTTAAAGACGTTGCAGAGAAAATTAATCTCACCCTTCAATGGAGAGCCAAGGAGACCCTTGCCCCTGGCAATGAGACAAAGTAGGTGCTCACGGGGAAATCCCTGAAGTCCATTTTAAATGTCTTAATGTGATCAAGAATACAGCCCTGTTCACACCAGGAGAATTCAGATGGGCTCTGAGCAATTAAGCAGTTCCAAAACTGTTTGCTGGAAGAAGAGGAAGAGTCACTGGGGGAGCAAGCGACACCTGATCCCTGACACTGGGTGACAGTTCAGCTTCTGTACCTTTCATCAGATTTCGGGAAAGTAGGCTTGACATCAAAAGCCTTTGGCTGCCAGAAGAGGAGGAAAGTGAAGATCGTAGCTGAAGGGACAAGTAAAGCCAGAAAACGAAACCATTCAGTAACTCCAAAGCACCTAGAAAATGACATGATTGGGGACAGAGGCTGAGAGGCCATGACATCAGCCTCAGCAAGGACCAATCAAGCCTGTCTGCTCCAGGACCACAAGCACAGGGGAGTGAGTGGCAGAGTAAAGCCTTTGGAACTCTCAAGAGCGGGAGAGCTCAACCCAAAGGAGGGAGCAGTCCTCACCAAGGGACCAAGCCATTACCATCCAACCATAACAACGGGATGCAGGTGGAGGGGTGGCAGAGGGCAAGAACAGGCTGGCAGAGGTGCTGCTAAAGAGGCTGCCAGCCCCTCCCCATCCATCCTGATGGAGTGGACTTCCCAGCTCTCCAGGTAGATTGCCTGCATGCTGGCCTCTCTAATCAGGGAGAAGGCAAGGGTCAGGCTCAACCAACATGCAGCGTCACTGGGACTGGTACAAACGTCATTCTACGACTGTAGTCACTGGTCAAAGGAATGGGAGACAATCCCATTGTCTTCTCCCCAAAACATCTGCCATAGGACATTTAACCCAGGCCCTGGTCACAGTGTCGTATCACCAGCATCATGCTAAACAGAAGGGTGTCAATCCCATTTATAAATTATCTTCCAGCCCAAAGCCATTCAAACATTCGATAACCTTGATGATCCCCTGTCAGGACTGCAACTGTGGAAGGAAGTCAACACCCAGCAGAGTAACAGTAGAAATAAGCCTTTCCAGCCTTTCCTTTGGTACGGCTATTACCAAAGGAGCATGACTCGTGTCTTGTCAAATGAAGTGTGAAGAGGCAGGGGTTGAGGAGTTTTTATTTTTCATTTGATTTTTTGAGACACAGCAGAACGTAATCAGCTTATGAGTTAAACAGAGACATCTGTCTGGTTCTACTTGAGACCTCCCAGCTTGCTGTACTCAGCCCAGAGTCCTTTTTAATAATAGGATAAAGATTCAGAAATATGCATAAACACCAAAAGATGGAGAGTGGAGCCGCCCCCTTTCCATTGCCCTCCCCCCACTTCCCCTCAATCACTGATTCCCCTGCTCTCTCTCCAACAGGTGAGAACTGACAGACTGTCTACAGCCAAACTACATCTAAAGGTCACAGCACCTGGAGGGGCAAGAGGGGGAGCTTCCAGAAAAAGGAGGGAAAAAGTCCTTCAAGATTGGGGTCTTCCCTGTACTGCCCTGGTTATGGATTCCAAATACTGCTGCCACTATTGGACACCAAGGGCCTGGAAAAAGTATTCAATTGGTCATTCAATGGGTATTTATTGAGCACCTACTTTGTGCCAGGCCCTTTGCTAGATGCTCAGGAGATAAAACACGATAGATACGCAAGTGACATGCAAGTGCGGATAGAGAACAAAAACAAACCAGCTCTATTTTTAGTTTTTTAAGGAACCTCCATACTGTTCTCCATAGTGGTTGTATCAATTTACATTCCCACCAACAGTACAGGAGGGTTCCTTTTTCAAAAAGAAAAACAAATACTGTATGCTAACACATATATATTGAATTAAAAAAAAAAAGGTACTGATGGACCTAGTGGCAGGGCAAGAATAAAGACATAGAGAATGGACTTGAGGACAAGGCGGGGGAGGGGGAAACTAGGGCGAAGTGATAGTAGCATCGACATATATACACTACCGAATATAAAATAGTTAGCTGGTGGGAAGCAGCAGCATAGCAGAGGGAGATCAGCTCGGGGCTTTGCAATGACCTAGATGTGTGGGATAGGGAGGGTGGGAGGGAGGCTCGAGAGGGAGGGGATATGGGGACATGTGTATGCATATGGCTGATTCACTTTGTTGTACAACAGAAACTAACACAGTGTTGTGAAGCAATTATACTCCAATGAAGATCTATTAAAAAAAAAGCACACAAATGAGAAAGGTTAGATGGAGAAAAGGTTAAGGACTATGGGGGAGACAGAGTGATGGAAGAGAGGGTCACTGGGGGCTGGGTGCTTGCTACAATAGCCAGGGAGGGCCACTCTGAGCACATGACACCTGGGGCAAAACCTGGAGGCTATGAAGAAGGCAGGTTTCAGCAAAGGGAGCAGAAAATGTATCACTGGCGTCAGCAGGCATAGCGATGGAGCCATTCCCAGCCATGCAAGGTGAAAAGAGACAACAGACAGATGTAAGGAATTACTCACAGGGCAGTTCTGACTCATCCACATGCATGGCACTGTGCGCACTTGTACATGCATATTTGCATATAAGACGTCCCATGTTCCTTCCACGGCTAGAGTGCCCATCTGGCTTTATTTAGCAAGCCCAAGGCAGATCCAGAGCATGTAAATAAATGGCCAGATGAATCTATCAACCCAGTTCACAGGCCACAGAAAACCATCCTGCACTAACAACAGGGCTTCCCGCTCTTCTACACTCTGAGGGTAGCATCACCTGACGCTCCTGTTGTATTAGGGAAACCTACTGGACATGCACAGAGAGCAAGGCACCTTTCCTCCAAATGCTCTGGAGCAGAGACAGAGCTCCCTCACATTTTACAGTGAGCTTGGGGCTGGATTTATGCTGGGTCATTGTGCCCCATTAAGGTTGCCATGGTTACACCAAGCCCGTGTTACCTGGACTTTTGATGTGCTGGTCGCAGGGGGCAACAGCTGCTTTGCTTCTTCTGTAATTTGCCAGGAAAGTGGCAGAGAGGCTCGAGGTAGAAATGCTGGATAGGACCCCAGGGTTCAGAGAGACTGCAGGTGGACAGGGCACACCCCCTTCCAATGAAAAAGCAAGGCTCTTCCCTAAATCCAATAGCCTGTGAACGCCAGCAGGGCAGGGACCCAGACTGATAAATCCTAGTCTCCCCCAGCACTTAAAACAAGACCTGGCGCATAACAAACTCTCAATAAGCGTGACGGATTCATTTTGTGGCAAGGGAAATATTCCTAAAAGAATTCAAAGGAAGAATCCACCTCGGGCACTACCGTAATGAAGAGGTTACAAGGAAAACTATGTGGCTCTCACTGCAAACTGGAGATCACAGCGAGTGAAATTTCTCCACATAAGGGAAAGGCTCTGAATACGTGGGAAGGGAGGCAAGTCAGTGTCAGCCTTCTGAGAAGCAGACGACAAGACAGCGTTAGATGAGCAGAGGTTTATTTAGGGAAAATGCCTGTAAAGGATAAAAGGGGAGGAAGCAGGAGGGGAGAGAAGAGCCTTCAGACCACGATGCAGGCCTAACCCCCCGGAGAGGAGGCGGTGTGGGGGGGGGGGGAGGGGAAATTAGACTTCAGTGCAGCTCCGGGAAAGCCTTGGCCAGGCTGATGGAAAGGCTCCGAGAAAAGGCTGTCTGTTAGAAGAGTCCCACGCTGAGGAGGAATGGCCAACTCTGGTGACCCTGCTGCACTCAGTCAGGGGCCGGGTGGACCCAGGGGAAATGTGGTCTCACCATGAACATGGCGGGGAATCGAAAGGCAGGCAGCTGAGGCTGTGTAGCAGCTGTGCTCCCTGCACCCCAGCAAGAGATCTGAGCAGGGCACCTCCATGACCCCCCAGAGTGGGGGGATATTTGGGGTGGGAAGGGGAGTCTGGAACCCTAATGGCTGGAGGCGTGGGGAATGTCTTCAGGCCACAGAGGCAAGATGAGGAGGTGGCTGGGAGGCTGTGCCTATCCTGGCTGGTTGCCTGCCAGTGTGTGCTCTGCCCTTCCTGCTGATACCCAGAAACACCCTAGACTCCCGTGCAGCCGGAAGCGGCCATGTGACCCAATTCTGGCTGGAGAGATGGAAGCATGGAAGCAGAAACCTGCTGAATGTTGATAAAAAGGGACCAGCTAACTGGCAACGTGACATGCTCTCCTCTCTTCTCCTCCTTCCTCCAGAATATGGACCTGAGGCCTGCAGGGGAAGCAGTCCTCTCGCTACCATGAGATGATAAGCCTGAGCATGAAAGCCATGTGCTAGAGACGGCAGAGCACAAAGACAGAGGAAGCCAGGAAAACCTCCACCAAGGTGGAGCTGCTGCCCGTGGGAAGCCCACCTCCAGAATCCTTGTTATAAGAGAAAAATAAACTCCCATGGGATTAAGCCCTGTGAGTCAAGCTAGCACTCCATGCAGCCAAGCCCAAGTCCCAAAATAATCCGGAGGAGATTCAGACAGAGAGAGAGCAATGGAACTCCTTGTCCTTGAACAAGACATTCAGTAAAATCCCCTCCCCGATGCCTTTGGAGAGCCTTGGCAGGGTCAGAGAGGGGCTTCTGGAGGGAGGTGGGCATGATAGAGTTGCTCCGTGTTTAAAGCATGCATAGGGCAAGAGAAGAGGCTGTCCAAAAGAAGCAGTCACCTGCACTGTAAATGAACGACTCCCAAACCCTGCCCTCAAGTAGTTTACAATCTAAGTGAGGGGAAAAAAAGCACAGAAATTCTACCTTAATCTAAACATTAATCTTTACATTCTGTGGCTTCGTCCCCAGGCCACTCTTACCCCCATGCCCACCACCCATGACAGACATCAGTAACAGTCTCAGGACTTTCCCCTTTGGGCCTAGGGAAGGCCTGGCATCCTCCCTGCCCTCAGGCAGCACCTACCACTCAGGTGAGGTTAGCCCTTGAAATGAGACCTATTTACCTGGCTGGATGTCATCTGCAAACTTGAAGGTTTTAGGCCACGGAAAAGAAAGTTGCAATATGCTTTTTCCTCTTATCTCAACAGACTTAAGTAAGACAATTTTCCCCTAGGGATCCCCAGAATATGATTTGCCTTTCAGATACCAGTGAACATGAAACAGGCACCCAAACCCACCCATCTCTTTGTGGCTAATGTTAGAAAGTGATCCAAGTGATCCAGTCCTTCCTCTGGTCACCAGAGGGGGAACTCCTGCTTCTGAAGCTCTGGGAGGAGGGCTAGACCAGGGCAATCACCATGACAAACACTGTACATTCTCAGTGATGGAAAAGATTTCCAGGCCACACTTCACTTGTCACAATATCAATCTCAGAATGTTAGCAAAGACGTTCACTTACCATCACTGCTCCGTGGGTCAAGCACTGGAAATCTGATCAGTTCTGTGTTCTATGAAGGTATGGCTCATGGTCCAGAATTAATTAAGGCCTCCAAAGGAAACAGAAAATTCCAGTCTTTAAAAAATGAAACCAACTGCCCGCCCCTCCCCTCACATCCCCAGGAAACTCACCTGGAATCAATCTTATCTAAGTGCAAGTTCCACAGCCTTTTCCAATTGTCACATCAAGAAGTTCCCCATGGACTTTTTCAGTTTTTTCTTCCATCTGGAGGGAAAAAAATGATTAATAATCATGTAATTACATTTCCAATTCAATGACCATTATCACTGGATGGTGCCACCTCGGGGCTTCAAAGATGAAGTCCATCTGACAGTGAAGAGTTTAGTAAAGGGGTGTCACTGGTGATGAGGGAAGGCTTTATGAGAATCACAGTCACCACCTGGTTACATGATTGGAGTCCTACCCTTTTGCACTTTTTTCTTTTTTGTTGGGGGGGGGCAGAGCAAACAAAAGACAGAGTATTTATTTGGGAAACAATAGTTTCAAAATTATCCCAAAACCAGAATCTATGGGCCAGAATACACCCCCTAAGCAAATGAGTGAGGTCTACATTAATTGCTCAGTTATTAAATAAAACTTTTAATTAACTGTGTTTTCCCACATTTCCATGATAAGAATCACTTGGAGTGCTAGAGATTAATTCCATTAACTAATACATGGGGCCTGGGATGGGCCAGTAATTTGGAAATTTTAATTTTACAAATACTTCCAGGTGATTTTAATGATCAAGGAAATTTGGGAAACACTGATGAAACGTGCTTTTCTGCTTTCTTTGCAGATTTTAAGTCTTGAACACCTGGTCCCAGAATGACCCAGTGAAAAGTCTTATCCAGTCCAGCTCTAGGAAAGGAAAGTAAGTCTTCTGAACATTTGGTTCATTGATTCCTAGAAGACACTGTTTCTCATTTCCATTTCCGGCCCAGCTCTTCTAGATCAGGTTTTTCCTTGAGTTGAGGCATGGCAATCCAGTCATTTTTGAAGAGTGGTTTCTTATTAAAGGATTATCACATTTAATTAAATAACCTTTTCTTGCTTTTGTCTTGTTCCCTTTTCCCCTGAAACTTCTGTTAAGAAGTTAGGGTGCTTTGTATAGACTCAATATTCTGGCCTTTCCACCTTAAATCTCATACTGACGACCCCCTGTATACCAGCCTGGATCTCATTGTTCTCTTTAACAGGTCCCACTCCCTTTGGCGTCCCGGTCAAGATAATATCTCCTTCTTCAAGTTCATTATCTTCGAAACGTAGCTGATGGTGTAGGAGGATGGAAAAAAATCATGAAGGATATTTCACCCGCCTGCCTGAGTTAGCCATTGACTTTGAGCCAGAGCTTCAGGCTTTGAGGGTCAGGAATCTTCTCTTTGGGCACCAACACTCTGACAGGGCAGGAGGCCGTGGAGCTCTTGGCCTGAGTCGCAAGCAGCCCCTTCTTCTTGCACTCTTCCTGCATGTCCCTGGCGGTCTCGTCCAAGCACAGAGCGTAGCCGGCCACGCAGTCCACGACCGCGGCCTCCTGGCCGGCGCAGAAGCGCTTGTGCATCACCACCCCCAGCTGGAGCTCGTGGTGCAGGCTATACGCGTAGGTGGGCACGAGGACCCGCGAGCGCAGGCAGTGGAGGCTCCGGGGAAGAGCTCCGGCTGGCTTTCTCTGCAGGGCTGGCTTTCTCTGCAGGGCGCTCTGAATCTCCCCGACAGGGGCCGCGCGGCTCCTGCCCGAGCACACGATGCTCACCCCCCACCCTCAGGAGCGGGACGGCGGCCTGGCGGCTGCCGCGCTCCTACCCGTGGCCCCCGGAGTCACGTGGACTCTGCCTGGCCGGCCATCGGACGCCTACAGCTGCCCAGAGAGGACCGACTACCTCGGAGCGCTGTCCCCCTGACTCTGACCTCGGTGCCTGGGAGTCGCGGTGCGAGTCCCCTTGGGAGCCGCTGTCTAGTGGCTCCCTCTGCGCTGCCCGGCCTGGGGACGCAGCCTGGTCCCCGGAGAGAGGCGGAGGCTCCGGCGCAGCTCTCCAGCCGACGCTGCCTCTCAGGTGGCCCTCAGCAGCCCCACACCGGGCCTGCAGACTTTTTCTGAGAAGAAACCCACGTGAGAGAGTGGCATGGACATATATACACTACCAAGTGTCAAATAGAGAGCTAGTGGGAAGCAGCCGCATAGCTCAGGGAGATCAGCTCGGTGCTGTGTGACCACCTAGAGGGGTGGGATAGGGAGGGTGGGAGGGAGACGGAAGAGAGAGGACATGTATGCATATGGCTGATTCACTTTGTTATAAAGCAGAAACTAACACACCATTGTAAAGCAATTATACTCCAGAAAAGATGTTTAAAAAAAAAAAGACCAAACTTACCTCTCAAGCTGAACAGAAGAAATTAGGAAAAGAGAGGCAGACAGGAGCTGGTCCCATAGAAAATGTGCCTAAGAGAAGGTGGTCCAAAAGGCAGGCTGCTGTGCTCTGCTCTCCCTGCGCCACTTCCCAAGGCTCCTGCCAGCACCCACATGGCTAAAATACCATCTCCAAGCCCAGAAAGCCTCACTTCCGGCTTGAACGCCCAGCTCCCTCATCAGGGCTTAAATATCCTAGCCATTTGCCCCACCTGCTTAGTTCAGGTAGTAACTGCCCATCACTGACTTACCTCCTTCACAACCTCCACTAAGCTGTGTCACCTGTGCCGCTATCTAGTGGGAACTCCTGTGTGTTAACCTGGCAAAGCAACAGCCCCAGTTACTCAATCAAACACTAGTCTAGGTGAAAGCATCTGTAGGTAGGATTAAAGTCCTTAATCAGTGGATTTTAGGTAAGGGAGATTATCCCAGATGATCTGGATGGATCAATTCAGTTCGTTCAGATACCTTGAGAGCTGAGGTTTCCCAGAAGCAGAAGGAATTCCCCCTGTGGAAGCAGGTTCAGCCCAGCCTGCCCTCTCTGACCACCCACCTATGGATTTCAAGCTCACCTAGCCAGACCCACACCTATGTGAGCCCCTTGCAATAAATCTCCATACATATCTCCTACTGCCTCTGTTTATTTGGTTGAACCCTGACTGATACATATGACACATCTAATTAAGAATGTTTTCTTTCAACCCACTCACCTTATTTTACTAAAAGAAATGTATTTTGTGCACAAAATTTATGTGCCTATCCTAAGTAGAAAACCAGTGCCACCTGCCATAATGGAAGGAAACCATAAAGATAAATACAATAAAAACAAAAGCAGTGCCATGGAATTCCAGCTGGATGCTATTGCCTGCCAAAAGCTCTGAGCGTGAGGCCCATCCTGCTAGTGTTAGAAAGAAAATGAAAGAGTGGTGATTTGGTGCTGGGATGTGCCTACATCAAGGACAAAGTCTTGGGGAGATGCTGACCAGAAGGACTGATAGAGAACAGGGGATGGAATACACTTCTCACCATGTGCTCTCTGGAATTTAATGCTACCGCTGTGTATATCCCATCTGAATCCTCTCCTGTGCAACCAGAAGTTCCCATCCAACACTTGCAGATACAACACTGCAGGTTGTGGAAGGGTGGTCTGGGAGCCCACAGATCTCCTTCCCGGCGATCGCTCAGTGTCCGGAGCAAGTGGTCCTGGTTCAACTGCAGGGAGTTGCCAACCCCAACCGCGAGGACAGCAGAATCAGCCCACCTGCCTCATGTTTCCTACGCACCGGAGAACAGAGCCCAGCAGAAGGCTCCCTAGTGACATATTAGGGTGGCAAGTTCATGCACCTTCCCTGCTTCCCAAGGAACTCGCTCTGTGCCTGTCCGCTCTGCCAAGGTTCTTTGGGGGCAGATTCGTCATGCACAGGAATCAGATTCACAGAACACAGCAGAGCTTTTTTCTAATCTTCCACCTGTATAACTGGATTACTTCTTGTTTGACAACTGGCTCTAATTGCTCACCACTAACCTGTAGGAAGCCAAGCCCGCGGAAAGACGCAAGAGGTTCTCCTGAGTCAGGGACTGTAATATATTTGGTCAGGCCCAAAATAGGCCAAATAATGGAAGGAAGACAGACTGAGGGTTCAAATTCCAGTTCCGGCACTTCCCAGTGGGGAGATCTTAAATTACACAAATTCTCTGACCCTCAGTCTCTTCATCTATGAAATGGACCCAATAATAGAACTGTGGTGGATGCCTGATATTTTGTCTTCTTTGGATTAAAGGGCCCCAGTTCTCTTTGGGAATACCATCCCCTCCCAGTCTCACTCCATATGCTGTGGATGGGGTGGACCTTACTCCTCCCCTCAAAGGACCCGGTATCAGCACATGACCCAGCTCTGGCCACTCAATCTAGTCTACCTTCCTGGTTCAGGTTTGAAGACTACCTTTGGAGCATGCAACCAAATGTAGTACGCTCAGAGTGACTGCTGGAGCCACTAAGCAAAAGCACTTTCTTTCTACTTGGGTCTCTATGCTGGGAGGATATAAGCCAGAGCCACTCTCATAGAGAGTTTCTGCTGAGAACAAAGTCAATATAAAGGAAGGCAAAGCAGTATGAGGAGAGAGAGGTCTGATCATATCATTTGAGCACCTGGATACAGCCAGGCCTAAAGCTATCCAGATTTATCCCAAAGGCTTTTTTTTTCTTTTTTTTTTTCAGTTTCATCATCCAACAAAACTAGCTTGGAAATTGAAGAGAGCTGAGTCAGGTTACTCTCACCTGCATCCTCACTAGGTAATTACACTTCCTAGGAAGATATGAAGGTCAAATGAGATGCTATAAAATCACTGAGTACAACTTGATGCACAGTAAGCACTCGATAAATACTAGCTGCAGTTTTGGAGGGTCTCAGTGGAAATAAGGCACCTAAAGTACTTCTCCAGTTGCTCGCACAGGGTGAGCTTATTCAATAATGGCGGTAGTTACTTCTCCATAGTAACCCCCTTAAGCACCATTTCATTCATCCAGCAGCCCAACCAGCCAGTAGGCTCACATGAGCATATTGCTGAAGCTCCATATTTCAGGCTCCAGACATAAAAGGTTAATAAACCAAAAAACTATTTTTTGTAAGTGGCAAAGCTCATTGTAGTCACCACCCAGCTCTGTGTGGTTTGGTGGACCTCGGCAGAGCTGTTCAAAATGGGAAAGTCATTTTGCTACCGATCAAATCAAGACAAGCTCTGAAAAGTAACCATCAGGCTCCTGCAGAAGCTGAACTTTTTTAAAAGGAAAAAAAGGGCCAAGGAAAAAATTCATCTTGTTTCTAAAA